ATATAAGGATTCCGTATGCAATACATAGTCAGACAGATTGAATATTTAAACCACGGATCGATTGTTCCTTTTTTTTCCTTTACCCTGACAAACTTTCCCTGGGACGTTTATTTAAGTTGCCCAGCACTTTTTGTGCCATATTTTGATAACTGAGTTTATTGGGTAAAGATTATCAGTTAATCCTACTTAAAAGTAGTTTGGCTAATATACTGATGAACTTTGTATCGCGTGTCTTTTCAGTCTTAAATCAGATTGCTTCAGTAACAACTGTATCAGATAATAGACCTGCAGCAAATACCTCAAATACCGCACTAATTATTTCATCAAGTTTGCGACGGACAGTAGATCTAAAAGAATTGTATGTCTTGGTTTCGAATTTTGGTCCGTTCGAGTCAAATACAGCACCTCAATGCTCAAAATCTTGTTATTTCCAAGGGCTTATACGGAACCGGAACTGAACTAAGTTCGAGAGTGCGCTAAAATAGTCCTTTGGTAAGGGTGTTTTCGCCTACAAATGATACAACATTGGTCGTTGCTCATCCCATAATATAGTAGTATGCTTTTTCGCATGTAACATGTGAATCAGGCATGCCCGTGGACCGGTTCTGCATTTTTAATCCCGTCCGAGACTGATGCGTTTTGTCTGATCCTTTTTCTCCAATTTCCTCTCCGAACAACCAAATTCAAAACACTTCACAGAAGACTGTGAAGAAACGGTTAGTTACAGTGAGGCTTCGTGCGGCGAGACCAAGCAGCGGAGTACCACAGGTAAGAAAATCTCAGGTACCTACCGATACGAAAAATTTTGCAGATAACGTCAGCGGCGTAAGTACTACCGACTGATCGTCCGCCCTTTCCATGTAAGCTAGTGCCAAGTGTCGTTGTTTTACTTACTTACGCGCCATTTTGGTTAATATGAGAGCTAACATCTTTTAAATGGAAAAGTAAAACATTGCATGATTGGGCGTAATATGTATATGATCGATCTACGAACTTTGTTCAAATGGAAGTAAATGTCTCGAGAACAACATATAATAGGCATTCTGCGGGATGAATAAAAACGACGCCATCATGAACTAACTGCTATTGTAAGGATTAATAATGTGTTAGCTAGATGTTGGAAATTATAAGAGCATCATTCTGTGTTACTTTTGTACCTTATCGTGAGCGTCTTTAAACTTATACTTGGGGGGGAGGGGGTAGGGACGGTCGCAGGAAGCAAATAAAAGCCCGGTCGGATATGAATAGGGTTAAGGTGCTCGCAGTGTGATCATTTCTACAATAAAGTAATGTCGATATGTTTGTAAAATAGAAGCAGATTGGTGCATGAAATGTTCCAAGATATCCCTTAAAATTGGTGCTTACCTAACTGACTCAAAAACCAGTAAGTACAAACACGCGATTTTCATTACAAACATTCTTAGAGAAACTTATCTTTGCGTGCACTGATGGGAATGTATCTAGATTTTGCGGGAAGATAGAAAGGGTGATACTGTACCTAAAACTAGGCAGAAAAATAAAAGCTGTCTGAATCCTGATATAGTGTTAGCATATCCATTCAGTTACGTCGTCTCAGCAACTTGACGTATAAGAGCATAATCATGTTCTATTTCAATCTTTAAAACGAATGAAAACTATAGGAAGCGGTCAAATATTCAGCCACTTTAAGAAAGACTGCGTATGCACGAATACTAAAATTAACTTCAAGTGTTTGCGTTGAACGAAATTGCGTAACAATTCGACTAAAAGTAATCGTCGGCGTGCAAACGAAGACACCAATACTGCGCAACATTGTCTCAGTGTTGGGGCGAGACCCTGTCGTTTGGTAACAAATATTGGGTTTCAAGAGATTATCGTCATGTCAGCCTAAAAGCAACTTGCTGGAGAGAGGGCTTTCTTGGAATCATACGCGGAGAGGCGACAAGTTCAATATATTGACAAGTTCAGAGAATTTAAGTTGCCATGTTGTTTTTAACAACGAGATACAGAGACTATTAGTCACCATCTATGAGGCTGTCTAAAATTGCCGCCGACCTCGCTCTTCCACCTTATTTACTCACGCAAATTGACGGGAGCGTTCCATCTTTAAGAGTAAGTTTAAGTTAAGTCATTGAGATTTAAAACAGTAGATCTTCGTTTCTAACGAACCCTCTACTTGGTAACTTATCGTTTTGTTAAATACACGAATGTTACCCATTTTTTTTCTGGTTTTGGTTGGGGCTTTTGATTAATTCTTTTTGCTATGTTAAAAAAATAGCGGCAGTAGGCCTTTTATTTTTCAGTTTTTGGTTTTAAGTGCCACACCTTTAAAACTCTAAGCCAAAACCGTTTAACACACAAAGCCAGGAATTTGAGAGGTAAAAGAAGATAAGTATGTATGGGTGACAAATTACTCCTTAGCTTTGGCGCGAAATTGCAGCGTTTATTTGATTTCAAATGTGAAATTACAAAACTGCCCATCGGCAACGTTCTCTACGTCCCAACGCCAAGATGGCGTAAAGTTTTAAAAATTGTTATGAATGAAGATGTCAGGGCATTTCAGTACGCTTTAGAAAAACCTAAACACACGAAAGAACACATCAAGAAGGACTCTATCAAGTATTTTGTCGAAAAATTCGAACTTAAGCCAAAATTTAAGCTCTAAACTTTTCAGTGTGTGGAGTTCTCGATCGATACGATAAACATATGCATGTCAAAAACCCACGATTGGTATGTGTAATCAAATGGTGACGAGTGAAATTAGGGAATAATTTCAAGCGCGTTTTGTCCAAATCCTTATAATTTCCCGAGCCTTTAGGCGACGGAAATTATTATTCCTTTTTTGTCCAAATTCTAAAAATTTCCCGAGCCTGATACGATAAACGTTTCACCGACCAAATTTATTTATTTATTTATTTATTGATCTGATTACCACCAGAAGTGGCAGGGCAGCCCGAATAAAAAGCCATGAAGCCTGTTACATTCAGGGTACTTATTTACAAACAAATTCAAAGTTATTTAAGAACATAAATGACAAGAATAAGCTAAGTATTGATAATAAGGTTAAGAGGTATAATTATCAATCAACAATATCAAATTAATGTCGGGTATCAAATAGTTCTTAGGAAAAAAAACGTTCTAGTTAATAGTCTAAAAATCAATTCTAATAGTTAAAATTAAGCAGGAAAAGAAAAAAAACTAGGTTATACTAGAAATTATTAATCAACAATACGGAAATGATTTAAAACAGACTAGTTTCTTGAACTAAAAATTTATGTAAGTTCTTTTTAAAGACATTTTTTGAAGTCAAGCAGCAGGGAGGGTATTCCAAAACTTTGGGCCTTGATATGCTATGGTAAATTTCCTAAAATTGGTTCTAGAAAAGTGAGATCTGTAATTCATATGGCATTTCTTGTATTACAAGAATGAAGTTGAGAGCTAGACAAGAACATATCATAGAAGCCTACCGGAAGTAACTTCTTCTTGAAGGAGAGCGTGAACAAGCCTTTCTGCGGCATATAAATATTGATTATATTAAGAAAATTATGCTCATATAATAATGGAGCACTGGGGGCATCAAAACAGAACTTGGTGATTACTCTTATGATACGTTTCTGCAACACAATAAGTCTATTCAAAGTAGTTTTATACGTAGATCCCCACCAAACAATGGTTCCATACTGCAGGTAAGGATAGAGAAGGGCAAGATATAGGGTACGCAACGATGGCATAGAAAGGTAGAGTCTGGCTTTTGTAATAATACCAATAGATTTAGAGACCTTATTGGCAAATAAGTTGACATGATCTTTCCAATTTAAATTTTCATCTACATAAACACCTAGAAATTTAGTATGTGTCTTACGTTCAAAATTTTCCTTGTTATTCTTTATATTAAAAAGCACAGAGGGTAATTGTCTTTGGCGCACCTTAAAAATAACATAGTTGGTTGTCTTTATGTTAACTGTGGGTTTATTACTCATCAACCAATTAGGCACTTTCTCAAGTTCAGAATTTAAGATATCTTGTAACATATTGAAATCAGCATTTGGGAAAAGGACATTGGTGTAGAACTGCCTTGTGCATGTTGGTGTAAATCTGAAAGGCACCAGCTTGTATCATAAGAGTTTTCTATGAAAGCGAGAAGTCATCATTCAACAGTTCATAAACATGAAAATAGCCGCTGTATTGGTTGTCAATGCATTAAAATTCTTTTCGAAGACTTTACATGAAAATGGCGTTTAGTTCCCAGAGGAGAGAAATGCATTTGTTCTTGACCACTAACATGGCCTCTTTGACGTCATTTGCAAACCAGCAATTCACCATTTTCACATAGACCATAATGTATCTTGTTTACCCTCCAAATTTTTGCATATAAACCATTGTTTCCAATTTCTCCTGTCTATTACAGTCGTCCCAAGAGAAATCGAAGACAATGGTTATGCAAAATTTTTTTTTGGGGGGGGGGGGTAAACTGAAGTTGCATTATGGCCTATGTGAAAATGGTGAATACAAGGAGTCAGGGGTACCCAACGACAGTTTCCCCTAAATGCATAGTGCCACTTTTTAGGCTACCCCGAGTACTTTTAATCTCTGGAATTGCATTTATTAATTTTAATCGGCGCTTTAAAATTTTGTATCTGTTCGACCATCCTAGGGCAACCGGGGTCTTTTCGAAATTACAAGGGCTTCAGAATTATTTTACCGAAAAGTTTAGATGCAATTAAAGTTTTACGAAAGTAAGAACCTTTCTGACTCCTCACTCCATCTCAATTTTGCGTCCCAAAATTGTAGGAATAAAATAGCTAAACCTGGGGAGTGAAATGCGTTAACATTTAACTTCAGAAAATCGAAGGGCTATTATTAGACCATTAGACATAAGCTTCGAAAATTGTACATGGAAGCGGAGCCTCGGAGTCATGTTTAAATTTTAAAATGTCGAACGTGGGCTAAATGACAAATTTACTTGTAGTATCAAAAAACGGTTTTCTTTTCATGTTCATTTTATTATTTTTTTCATTCCATTAGTTTAATAGTTGCTTTACAACTTATCAAGACCATATGGAAATTAAACAAGAATTTAATTCACCCTGAACTAATCAGTGCGTGCCCTTCCAAAGTTGTCTGCCTCCGAGTTGTCTTCTATTGATAACATATATTCCCTTTAGTTACCAGTTGCCCCATGAGCATGTAGAATTCAGTCACATGAATTCACCGTAAATGTCGGCGCATGCTTTTCCATGGTTATCGAATTCATGGGATTTCTTCAAATCCTCAAGATACCACAAGCGCAGCTTCTGACCAGCGGTAACGGACACAGGAGCGTCGTAAATCGACATAACAAGCTCAGGCGAATAAGAGTTGTAACCAGGAACCAAAACCCAACCGTGCACGTTGGCGCCTTCACGCAACATTTTAGGCGGGAAAAGAATTTTGTTGCTTTCGTCTGTCAAGGCCACGATAATGAAATCCGTACTGCCACCAGCTTTGAAAAGGCCACAACCCCAATGAGACCAATATATGGGAGAGGCTTTAGCACAGGTAACGTATCCATACAGATGAACCAACTTGACCTTCCTTAGTTTGCCACCTTTCAAAGCCTGAAATTCACCATAGGCGTCGTCCTTTGTCCCAAAACACACTGGGTCCGTATTGAGCTTGACGAACGTTTGATTCACGGCTTTTGATATAAAAAGAGATCAAATCAACCCTTTAAATTTTTAGAATGAAATGCTCCACCTTTTATTAAACAAGAAAATGATACACCTCCTGCCCTCTATGACTTAGCTCAACCGGCTTCGGCTGTCCATAATTACAATACTAGGTATGCCACTAATCAAAATCTGTGCAGATCATTTTCCAGAACTAATTAATATGGCCTAGCAAGGTTTAGCGTAGTTGCATCACAGACCTGGGAAGCAACACCTATGAAAATTAAGTGTCTCCCTTTGAAGCGTTTTAAAAAAAGAATATAAACTCTTCCTACTTGACAGTCAGGCATCTTGAACAGCATTAATCTGTTATTTAGCTCTATTTATTTAATTATTTAATTTAAATAGTTATCATTACTCTTATATACCCTTCCTTTTCAATATGATTAATTTAGCCAGAACTCCATAACTAGTTTTTTATAAGTACTGTATAATCTCCACCCACTTGTAACCGCTCTGTGGTAGTAGCCCTACTCGAAAGCTTGGCTCCTTTGGCTGCAACACACTTTTTTTCCTTTGTTATGTTTAATTCAATGTACAGTTAGCTCTGTTTTTACTTCTTCTTCTTTTTTTCTTATTGTTGTTGTATTGTAACTGATTAAGTGTGAATAAATGAACTGGAACTTGAACTCAAAGCTTATTCAAAATTCACCGTGCTTTGAAATATAGTTACTCGGCAATTCGCGTTGAAAATTTGATGAGATGAATTCGAATGTCTAGCTACCTTAAAAGCTTGATTTCGCAAAATGGACAATTCCACAATTTATGTTCAACACAGGAATAGCAGTTGGTACGTTTTAAAAGAATCTGTTTCTTACGAGATAATGCATTTTTTTCTTTAATATGAAGGGTCCTTTGCTGAATACGATCACACGGTGCAAAAAACATCGTGCTAGATGCCCGGGTAGATGGCAAACGAGGGCAAGACTGAAAAGAAGCTAATATCCTTTCTTTTCAAGGACCCAATGCGTTGCAATTGCTTGCCATCCAGCAAGGTGTCTTTTGTACCATATGACCATATTCTAGTCAGATATGAGATCCCTGTAAGGCGTTACGTTCTCAGGCCCAAGCCAGGCCGTACCGCTTAAAACACGTGACTCCAAATGATTTCGGGTAGAAGTACAGTCAAACACCGTTAATACGGACACTGCGGTAGCCTTAGAAGAGTCCGTAATAATGGGCTGTCCTTATTAAGCGGTTGAATTTAGAGAAATGTAAGGGCTTTCTTTCTCCGACAACAAAGCAAACTGTCCGTAATAATGAGGTGTCTGTAATAAGCGGGTGTCCGTGAGAGGTGGTTTGACTGTACAAGAAAAATAGAAGCTAGAGAGCAACAAAGGTTTGATAGGCTGGTATTTGGCCTAATTTGGTATCCCGATGCGTGTTTGCAGGCAGTTACTCACCTACGAGTTGTTTTACCTCATTCACTTCGTCTAACAAGATTTTCACCTTATTCAGAGTCTCTGAAAGAAGAATATGCATTATAAACCACCGATTAGGTTTTCTGCGATTTTAGCGGCTTTTTGAGTCACATGGTAGCAAATCAGAGGACTGGTATAAGGCAATCCACTCTGTCCGTGGCGATATTTGCTTTATGATTTTTCGGTTGCATGAAAGCATAAAAAAGTCAACAATTCAGATTATTTACTTTCATTTTAAACAAAAGCAGTAAAACCAAACTCGTTTTGTAAAATTTTTTAGCTAGTCGCAACTTTTCGAGAAGGTAAGAACCTACTAACAATAAATATGATATGTTGTTTTAAAAAGTTACGAACTAACACTAAAGTTTTCTTTCAAATACTTGAATGCAGTTTTTTTAAGCAATAGCTGTCATGCAGCTTTTTATAGGTAATAGCATGATTTGTAGTGATATTTGGCATAAATACCACGAGCGATATTTCGAAATTGTTATACGTAATTTCACGAGTCGTTAGGCGAGTGAAATTTGAGACAATTTTGAAATATCACGTGTGGTATTTATGCCAAATATCACGTACAAATCATACTATTATTTGTTTATACTACAACCCACAAAAGGTTTGTAATTTTCACGGGTAGGCATTTCAACTTAAGCTGAAATACCACTGCTGTAAGCCAATCAAATTGCAGAAATTTCTCATGTAATCATGTAGTAGTGTAAGGAAAAAGTACTACAAATTAAGTGTTTAAAATAAGCCAATATATTGATTGAATTGTACAGTGCATAGTTCGAGCAACAGTTCGAGTGATCTGCGATTGTCAGTCAATTTATAATCAACAAGATTATTGTCAGTTCAACCTGTCCTTACTGTCCAACCTGTATTATTTATTTCTTAAAAACAGGCCTTGCAAGATTTTTCCGGAGTTTTAATTTCGGATACATATTTATTCGAAGTATCATATACTTCTTACCGCTAGGCCACTCAGTGCGTAGTGCCTCGTGATAGATGGTCTGTCACTAAGTACAAAGTCTTTTGTTTTTGTTTTGTTTTTCTATCGCTGGCATGGTGCGAAAATAGATTTGCCCTTTTGAAAAACATCTGAATTTTTATTGGCCTTGTCCCTTGATACGGTAGAAGCGACGTAACTTTCTGTTGCCAGGGTAGTTTATTTAGGAAGAGTCCATACTTACCGCTACAGGGACCCCAGCAGGGCGGCGGACAAGACGGCTGAGCCTCGGCCTTTTCGGCGAACATCAGGGCCATTAACAGAAAAGCTAGAGTCTTCATGGTCAGTTAGGGCAACAATAGCACTTCTGGGAAGAAGGAATTAAAAACATTATGACATTTTATCCCTCGACTGATTTTCGCAAGATTTTCAGACCATATTGCCTTCCACTCAATTAAGGGAAATTACCATTTTCTTTTGCAAAATTTTGTTAATATGTAATTGTTCCAATAGTTATAAATGTTCTTTTTCTTGCAGTCTTCTATAGTGGATTTGCATGAGTTGTTTATCCGGCTGCTTAAATATGAAAAGAAAATGATATTGTCCCAGACGAAATTGCGCGAAAACTATACCTTTTATGCAGGTGCTCCTTGGCCACGGTGTTGATAAGGTACTGTGTTGTGATGTAGTTATTTTTCAGTGTCTTTTGGCGATCGAACCCGTCCGTAAAGCCTAAACTAAACTACCTTTTACGCCACATCAGCTGAGTTTGGTCATTTCACCAGCCCGAGTCAGCCACAAGCTAGGCACGAGCCATCCTCGAGTCAAGCCCAAATGTTATTATTTTTTGTTTTCTATTTTGAGTTTCATGGCCACGGAAAAGCAATAAATATTTTCATATAAATTGTAGAAATAATTTAAAAGGAACCATAAAATATGTGATACGTAATTACGCGCTTCGATCGTGATGTGGAAAAGCGTTAGTTGAAGAGCTCATGATCACTTGCTTCACAAGCTATTGTCACCTCGTTAACAGCATATCATGAAACGAAATGACCAAACTATTAAAACAAGAGAAGCGATAGAAATAACAACTGTACAAGCCCATGCCCGCAGCCAGGATTTTTTACGGGGAGGTGCGTTGCAAGGAGGAGGCGGACCAAACGAGACAGGAAGAGCACGTCTGTAGGGGGGAACTAGGGTGTCTTAGATTGTACTACGAAAGTTTTGAAAAACATGGATATTGTGGAACCTCAAAATTGATTTTTTTGGCAAAGAGACAACTTTATCATTATCTGTTAGAGGGTGCATGTGCTTAACAGCCATTGAAGAGAGCTTCTGTTGTGCTGCGACTATTACTTTTTTGCCACAGAAAACGGCTGATATTTTAAACTATGCTCATCATCTCCTTCAAGCGCAAGTGAATCCCAAATCCATCCTTTGTAATGGGCTGTTTAACAGGTAATTTTAAAACGAGAATTCCCAATACCTGAAACGGCTAAGATAACTGAAATGATTCCTTAAATAAAATGTCGTAATTAAAGTTTTAAAAGATTCTAAAATCGGTGCTTCGCGCGCGGACCTTGGCAGCTTATTCCATAGGAAAGGAGCAGCTACCTGGAAAGCTCTGTCTCCCAGTATTCTAAGTATTCACACTTAGTCTTTCCGAAAAAAAAAAAAAAAAAAAAAATTATCATCATCATCATCGTCATCGTTATTGTTATTATTATTATTATTATTATTATTATTATTATTATTATTATTATTTTTATTATTATTATTTTTATTATTATTATAATCATTATTATATGCAAGCCAAGATAAACAAAGATGAAAAATAAATAACAAAATTAAAAAAAAAATCGTGTTATAGTGTTATAGTTTCGGAAAGGACTCGGTCAAAATTAACTTAAGAGACTTAGTAAATTCGATATTTGCACATCTCCCAAACAATTACATAAGTATTGTCCTCTGTTTCTCTTAGGAAAACTGTGTTACCGCGGAGAAACTGAAAACAAAGGTTATGCAAAACTTTCGGGTCAAACATGGTGTATTAAGAGAAATGGGCAAATGGAGAATATAAAATTCTTTATATAGAAAAATGCCAAAAGCGGATGATCAGGAGCGGGCAGGTTAGACAAAGCGTGCTTATTTGTGTTGGTAGACAAACAGAGCAAGGAATGCGCTTCATCTTGCTTGCTCAAGAAGTCAGCCATGTTATAGTACACTTAAATGAACTTGACATGACTTGGTCTTTTCCACGGATCTTAAAAAGTGCTGACCTGACTTGAGCAATCGTCTCTATTCACCACGTTCTAAACGCGTGGAAAACTGGGTACGAGATGTGACCACAAAGATTCTTGGGATCGTGTGCAGACACAATGAAGGTCAACAAACATGGCGCAGTACAAATGCTTTCTTCCAAACTGCAATACCCGTTTCACAAATGCAACTAACGTTCACTAATACAGAATACTTAAGACCATGATGCACTAGGTATGTTTTCTCCAGTCAGAATAACCTAGAGAGCGTTTTTAAAAGGTGTTTTTCTGCTGTCCGCCATGTTTTTGCTGTCCCTCCAAACGATTCCGGGAACCTTTGCGTTCATAAGTCGTATCTATTCTCCGCTCGTTTAGAACGTTGTCAATAGCCTACGTTCGATAGTATTACAATTCTAACATGACTCTGAGGCTTTATAGATAAACTTGCAAATTTTTCACAACTCCATTGTCTCACAATGCTCAAAAGAGACTTGAGCACTGAAAACAACCAAAACAAGTATAGAAATATGACCAGAAAGCCTAAAGTCATGTTAGAACTTTAAAATATCGAACTTGGGCTATTAGCATATTCATAGTGATTAACGCAAATGACAAATTCATTTATAGTATCAAAAAAACTTTTTCTTTTTCATATTCATTTTATTCTTTTTTATTCCCTTAGTCAGTTAATAGTTGCTTTACAACTTATCAAGATCATATAGAAATTTTACAAGAACTTAATTCACCCTAAACTAATCCGCGCGTGCCCTTCCAAAGTTATCTGCCTCCGAGTTGTCTTCTATTGATAACATATATTCCCTTTAGTCACCAGTTGCCCCATGAGCATGTAGAATTCAGTCACATGAATATCCACTCTGTCCGTGGCGATATTTGCTTTATGATTTTTCGGTTGCATGAAAGCATAAAAAAGTCAACAATTCAGATTATTTACTTTCATTTTAAACAAAAGCAGTAAAACCAAACTCGTTTTGTAAAATTTTTTAGCTAGTCGCAACTTTTCGAGAAGGTAAGAACCTACTAACAATAAATATGATATGTTGTTTTAAAAAGTTACGAACACTAAAGTTTTCTTTCAAATACTTGAATGCAGTTTTTTTAAGCAATAGCTGTCATGCAGCTTTGTATAGGTAATAGCATGATTTGTAGTGATATTTGGCATAAATACCACGAGCGATATTTCGAAATTGTTATACGCAATTTCACGAGTCGTTAGGCGAGTGAAATTTGAGACAATTTTGAAATATCACGTGTGGTATTTATGCCAAATATCACGTACAAATCATACTTTTTTTTGTTTATACTACAACCCACAAAAGGTTTGTAATTTTTCACGGGTAGGCATTTCAACTTAAGCTGAAATACCACTGCTGTAAGCCAATCAAATTGCAGAAATTTCTCATGTAATCATGTAGTAGTGTAAGGAAAAAGTACTACAAATTAAGTGTTTAAAATAAGCCAATATATTGATTGAATTGTACAGTGCATAGTTCGAGCAACAGTTCGAGTGATCTGCGATTGTCAGTCAATTTATAATCAACAAGATTATTGTCAGTTCAACCTGTCCTTACTGTCCAACCTGTATTATTTATTTCTTAAAAACGGGCCTTGCAAGATTTTTCCGGAGTTTTAATTTCGGATACATATTTATTCGAAGTATCATATACTTCTTACCGCTAGGCCACTCAGTGCGTAGTGCCTCGTGATAGATGGTCTGTCACTAAGTACAAAGTCTTTTGTTTTTGTTTTGTTTTTCTATCGCTGGCATGGTGCGAAAATAGATTTGCCCTTTTGAAAAACATCTGAATTTTTATTGGCCTTGTCCCTTGATACGGT